TTTGTAAGTAACATTTGAAGAGCTTGGTTCACTTATGAAATGTCCTAGGGTCTAGATTTTTTTCTTCAATACTTTTTTGTTACCTTATTGCTATTTCAGTGAGTTTTGGGAGGAAGAAGTAAATAGTATGCTTCAGACCATCATTTTCATAAATATGATTTTCACTGGCTACATTGTATTCTGTCTTTTTTTAGAAAAAACTATTTTTCTCTTATTGGCAGTTCTAATTTTCCCTTTTTTTAAAAAGAGTAAGTAAACCTTCATTGAGTATCCTGATACATATCTTTGTATATACATTTGTGCTTATTGCATTAATGAGATTGATTTTTTTTGGCCCTACTGGGGTTTAAACTCAGGGTTTTGCAATTACTGGGCAGGCACTATACTGCTAAGCCTTGCTTCCAGCCAAGATTTTCTTTAGATCAAGAATCGTAAGGGCTGGTGGAGTGGCTCAAGTGATAGAATTCCTGCCTAGCAAGCTTGAGACCCTGTGTTCAAACCTAGTACCACCATAAAAAACAAAAAAAAACAAAAAAAAAAAAAAAAGAGAGAATCTTAAAAATGTCCTGCTTTCTCTGAAATATCTCTAAATCAGATTAACCTCTTACCAAGTGAATCCATTATGTCAGAGAAAATTATGTGATTATACCTAATCATTCTCAGTTTATTCCTAATGTCTTATTGTCTATTTTTGCAAAGTATTTCTGTGAGTTACAAAAATCATTGTTTCCAAGGATTCTGAAAAAAGACATTAATTTCAAGTGGTCAGGTATAGAAGCCTCATCCAGTGTGTTAGTCTACAATAGAAGTGTGGCCTGAATATTTGTATGAGCATGAACAGCTTTATTGCATTCTTGTAAAATATTCCAGCCGTGGAAAAAGAGTAATAAAGTGTTAAGTCCCCTCAGTTCCCTGTCCTTGTTATTTTTTCTGTCTCCTCAGTTTGCTGTGTACCCCTCCAGGTCTTTTCCTGTGTATTATAGGCATGGATTTCATAAAGAAATGTGTGTATATGTGTAAAGTTTTCTTCCTTTCTTTCTTTCTTTTTTAAACACATTGTAAACAGAGATAGTTATTCTGCATTTTGTTTTTTCACTTCAAAGTGTGTCTTAAGCTCTTTCTATATTATATTAGCATGCAGAGATCAGTCTTGAGCTCAGCCAGGCATGGGCTCATACCTGTACTTCAGAGGTAGAAGCAGGAGAATTATGAGTTTGAGGCCAGTGTGGGCTACATAGCAAGACCCTGTCTCAAGAGATTTTCTTAAAAAACAAAATGTAGATCAGTCTTACATAGCTGCTATATACTGTTGCACAGAATTATAGACTTTACCTAACCATGCCTATTGCTGGACATGTTACCAGTATTTTGTTTTTTCCCTTTTTGTCTGCTTGTATCACAAAAAGTAGAAGTAATGTTTTTCTCTTGTAAATAGGAGAGGCATTTTATTTGATTTCCTTTATTTTTTTATTTTTACTTATATTTATTTATTTATTTTTGCAGTACTGGGGTTTGAACTCAGGGCCTACACCTTGAGCTACTCCATCAGCCCTTTTTTTGTGATGGGTTTTTTTTTTTTTCTTTGAGATAGGGTCTCTCAAACATCTTGCCCTGGTTGGCTTCGAACCAATACCCTCCTGTTCTCTACCTTCTGAGTAGCTAGGATTACAGGCATGGCACCTGGCTCTTTTTTTTTTGTAGCACTGGGGCTACACCTTGAGCCATTCCACCAGCACTTTTTTGTGACGGTTTTTTTTTTGAGATAGGGTTTCGTGAACCTGTTTGTCTGGGCTGGCTTCAAACTGTGATCCCTCTGATCTCTGCCTCCTGAGTAGCTAGGATTGCAGGTGTGAGCCACTGGTGCCTAGCCTGGCTCTTTTATTTATTTTTTTGAGACAGGATTTTGCTTTGTAGCCCGGGCTAAACCTGAACTTGTGGTCCTCCTGACTGAGATTCCTGAATGCTGTAATTACAGAAATGCACCTCCATATTTGACTCTTATTTTTCTTTACTTTGCTTTCTTTAAAAAAAATTTTTTTTTTGTAGTGCTGGAGATCTAACTGAAGGCCTTGTGTGTAAATACTCTACCAGTGAACTGCACCCCTAGCCACTATTTGATTCTTTTTTTTTTTTTTTAACATACTGGGATTTGAACTCAGGACCTCATGCTTGCTAGGGAGGTGCTGCACCACTTAAGTCGTCTCCAGCCCTTAATTTCTTTATTAAAATCCTTCAGTAGCTTAAGAGAGTCCTTTGTGAATATATTATTACTTAAAATTTCTATGCAGCATTCTATACTTAGAGATATTTTAATATATAGAGAAGTTCCTACTGAGTAAAATTTATAAGATGCTTTAAGGTGATAAGAGCAAATCAATATATTAAGGTAAACATTTGAAAAAAAAGGAATAATGGTATTTCTTCCCTTATTCTAATGTTAATATCTACATTGAAAGATAAAAAACTTATAAAGAGAAAATACAAATCATCCCAAATTGGCAGTATTATCCACCCCTTACATTTTAGTGACTATTTTCTAGATAGCAGTGAGTATGTGCATATGTTTCTGTATTGAATGTAGCTCCTGTAGTTTCATGATTATGCTTTATTGTGCATATATACAGTGTGTCATCTTTGTCAGTGTTTTTCACTTAGGCACACAAATGTTTGCATATAATTCATAAGTGGGGTTATACTCTACATGTTTTACATATTTTTCACTCTGGTGGGCATAGAATATAGATATACACATAGATATATATCCTTTTAATGTCGGTTAGGTTTTGTATGTAAGATATACCTGAGTCAAATGTCACAGGTTTCTTTCAAATGGGCTTTAGCAATAGGGAGCATTGTGGGCTAGAGTCTTTATGGAACCTTTTTTTGAAGACACCAAAAGGTGGTTGGTAATTGTCTTTTCCTGGCAGACTTAGTTTTCTTTGGTGATTTCCAGAGTTAGCACCAGGGGGGGAGAGAGCTTATAGTAATAAGGCTCAGGGAATGAGTTCCTTTGTAGAATTTAGGGTTTGAGGTAAGAGATGACAAGATTGTCCACGGCTTTAAGAGAATTAGGAAGTTGGAATGGAATTGACAGAAAATATTGGAAACTGGTAAGAGCATCTGGTTTAGTTCAGCAGAGCAAAGCAGAAAATAGAGCCTTATTGCTTGTAGAAAAGGAGGGAAGTATTTTTTTTTAGTTCTAGGGGAGCTAGGAAGATAGATTTCTTGCAGAGATGGTTACTGAACTATTGACTTCACAGGAAGGGTGTTTATTAGTATATAGCTGCCTGAACTGTGTGGAACTGAAAAGTAGACGAGATACTTATTTTTTGATCTCCAAATTTAAACAAAGTATAATACTAGTGGT